CTGGGGACGTCGGGGAGAGCTGATTTGTATGTTGGGATGAAATTGAGAAGCAGGGGTGCCTTTCGCTTCTGAACTAGCAGGTCCAATAATTTCTTTAAATCCTTGCTGGGAACAAAGGATTGGCGAAAGTTTTTTGGCGGCTGAGGAAGAACTGCAAAAGTAAAGACAAAACAGATATTAGGAAATAGATAAAGTATACAAGACTTTAAAAGTAAAACAAGTATGAATGCAGGGCTCTTACCATTACCCTCTATAAAGACTGATCGTGGGAGAGGAAAGAGGTGGAGGTCTTTATCTGGGGCAAACTCCCAGTTCCCCGAGGTAATGAAATAATCATCACCAACTCCGTTGTTGGAGTCTGGGAGGTCGGCTACAATTTTTAATTCTGTGGACCTCGATTTAAGATAATAAATGTAGTCTTTTTCTTTCAAGTTAAGGCCACACATGGTATAGCAATATTGGATGTCGGCAAGGGTGATCCTAGCGTTTTCCTGTTTAGCTAGGGCTATAATACCATTGATCACTCGGTAAGAATTGATGGCCAGTTGCATAGGGTTCAACTTATAGTAATGGAGGACCTCACGAAACAGAATGTTTAGTGGAAGCCGAAGTCCATACTCGATAAAGGCGACGACAGGGAAAGGCATGGAGTCGGCAATGGGCATGATGGAGTCATCATCCCCAGCCAACCTCAAATGGACGTCGGTTGGGATCTCAAACTCCTGTCTAAATATTCTAGTTTGGAGGGGGTGTTTACCTTATGTTTCCACATACCCATAATATCAGCTTAATCTTAGAAGGTGGGTCTCAGAAGATGTTCTTGAAAGGTTATTGGGACCTCGGCAAACAATAAGGTAGGTGTAGGTTTTAGTTTTTTCCTAAGTTATGGGTTCTACAGACAAATCCCAGACCTGAATCTATGGAAACACAGATTGAAAGCAAGAATCTAGAAAAGATACAAGAAACAGAAAACAGAAAACAAAAACGAAGTTTCAGAAACAAGAATTGAGATGGGCTATCAAGAACATGAAGAATACAAGAGTATATGGCCAAGAACAGTGGCACAAGTGCAAAGAAGTGGTGAAACAGTGCGTGTGTGCAAAATATAGGCAAAGGCAAAATCTTGGATGAATGCATTCAGATGTACGATTTATGAATTAAAAAAAAAAAGCTCGAAACAATACAGAAATGGCGACAGCAAAAAAAGAAGAAACATCAAGGAATTGAAAACGAAAAGAACAGTAACTTACCAGAAAAAGGGAAGCCGGAAAGGGATTTGCCGATGTCCTACGACGTTTGCAGGAGCAGAAGACCGGTGGAAATCTCGCCGGAAGGGGTGAACAGAGAAGGTTACAGAGCTTTGGAAGCTTGAGCGATGGAGGGTTTCGAAAGCTAGAGAGAGATAGCAGGAGATTCGAATGAAAAAGTGAAGAGATGGAAAAAAGGGAAAAAGTTTTTGATTAAACAGAAACGGCAGCAAAAGCAATCGATATGCCTAGAAGAACGAGGGCGTCAGACAGCGCACATGAAGAAAGAGGCGGCTAACAGGCGCGTCACGTGTACGGACCAGTAAGAGGGAAACGCGTGGCTAAAACGGTTGGGTTGAAGTGGATGATGAAGAAAGAGGCGGCTAACAGGCGCGTCACGTGTACGGACCAGTAAGAGGGAAACGCGTGGCTAAAACGGTTGGGGTTGAAGTGGATGATAGCTCATGTGCGTGAGAAGGTCCTTAAAAATCTTGATTTTTTAGGGAAGGCATGTCGGCCTGAAATGAATGATCTCGGCT